CGAAACCACTGGACCGATTTTAATATTTTTCTCATGTATGTGAAGCTACATCATACGCAGGTTGCAAGAGCTAGTATACAATAAATGTGAATAAACCGCGAATCTCTCACAATATCATACGCGCGCGTGTGACATTGGCTATAATTTACGATGGCGAAGTTCCGAAAGAACAGCTAGTTTTAAATATATATAAAATTGATGTTCTGCAAGAAATACAATAGAACAAAACAATGCGACAACTGACCTTTTATTATTATTAATAGGTCAGTAAGTAAATTCATTCGCATCATATCCGACAGAATAAGTAGATCAAGTAGAAAGATTATAGACTGTTCACTCGTGAACTAGGAGCTTATTGGATAAACATTGACGGGATCAGTGACAGGAGTGGATGTGACCGATCAAAGCCGAGAATCGATTTATCCGATGACTGGTTGACGGATTTATTGGACCACACGCATGGCCACTGATCGTCGACACACCACCTTAACTTTCTTAGAAAACGCTTCTGATAAAGTGGCTTTTATTTATGTTAACTGGTTTGTGTCTCTCGATCAATGAAGATGTTCAAGATTGATATTTAAACTTGACAACCAATATTTGTCTGCTGTTATAATAATTAATACTGGGTATCATATGTCGAATTTTATATCCAAATCCGAGAAAAATTACAATTTGTCATGTTTCATTTGATTATGAACACTGATGCGTAGAAATTGTAAATTTTTTTTTGAAAAAAAAAGAAATTGTAATTTATGTTATCATAAACTGATGTTTTGCTGTGTATGTCAATGCTAAATTGAAATATCTTCGGTTTATAATCTTAATAGAATTTTATAATCTAATTTGCCTAAACTTAAAGTTATTAACAATGCTGTGTTAGATTATAAACGATCGTAGATTAAATATTAAACGATAGTGAGGGAAGCTGATACATTCCCCGGTTTCTTTAAACTACACGGGAAGGCGAATCTGGGGTATTGTTGGACTGGCCAACTGCCTCTACCATCTTTGCCAGTTCGAGAGCTCCGAGACTAGTCTGCCGCATATCCAGGTCGATGAATTCTTAAGGTCAGTTCACATCGGTTAAAAAAATAGTTAGATTATAATAATTCTAGTTAGATAATAAATACGCTATGTTTATCGTTATCGTAAAAAAATACAGAGCACCGAATTCAAAGATTTATCACGAAGAAGTTGAATACATACCGTCTTAATATAAAACTAAGTCTAAATTTAATACTCGGTTTAAACCATTGGCTGCCTAAAGTAAATCGACAATGACAGAAGATAAAACGTTAAATTGAGACGTGTTGTCTTATTTTGATCGGATAATGGTTTAAACCTATTAAAGTTAGTCCTCATTTTATAATAAATAAGACATATATTTTCCATTGCGAAGTCGCCGAGACTGGGATGTTCTGACACTAATTGATCGATTGCCCATCGGTTCCCGAATGGATTCAGTGATTCCAGTTAACGGCAATAATAATTAGTTTTATAACAAATAATATATCAACGATCGTTTGATCGATCTATTATGGAAACGATTATTTATTTAGCCCGCATTAAAACACAGCGGTTCATGGTTCATTCGATCAAAAATAGCAAACAACGATCGACTATTATCTGTTATTGGTGTGTGAACACCCTAATACCACTAATACTGTCTGATTGCATCTTTTATAACTTCCTCTTCAATTATAATTATTATTGATAAAACTTGAAATACTAAACATAATTATAATATAATAGACTGAAAATTAAACTGACTGAAAAAACTGAATATCTCGGTGACGTAGTGGATAAGCGCCGCGGTCCGCGAACGTTGTAGTTGAGCAATTTTCGTAGGGGTCGGTCACGGGATGGGTGACCAAAAAAATTTTATCTCGAGCTCTTCCGTGCTACGGAAAGAACGTTAAGCCGTTGATCCCAGTGCATTTGCAGTCGTTAATATCCTCCAATTCGCATTGGGCCAGCTTGAAGGGTTATGGCCTACCCTCCTTAACCATCTATAATGATGCCCTGAGCACTTGCACGGGGACGTAAAAGGACTGATGATGGATACTGTAAACTTTGCATTAAACATAAAAAATACAAAAAATATTTTCATTATCTCTAGCCAATAGGGTGACGAATTTATAATGATAATCCGTGGACTACAACCGGATCGTTTCTTGGTATGCTACATAACTGAAAGTGTACCGCATTGTTGAATAAGGGCCCTGAGAGCTTGTCGAAGATATAATGTGATCCAATATAAACTAAATCAAACAAACGCACGCCTCGTGTGTAGTGTCTTGGAACTTTGCCTCGATCAATTATTTTTTATTTTAGACATGAAAGGGAAATAGATTGTTACTCCGATGAAAATAACTTTAACGTGGAAAATCATTTTCATATACTAGATAGATTTCAGACGCTTTTAGAATAGTTTTATAATCATAAAAGTTTTGGCGCCAATTTTATGTTATAACTCGTCCACACTAGGTGTTTACGTTAAAGAAAAGTATTTATGCTAAGCAAAACAGCAAAGCAACAATGATTTTTTATAATAGTTGCAGGGAAAACGTGCTTTTAATAAGCTTACTTTAAATAATTATTTTTTTCATTCCATTTTCATAAATATAAATTCTGTTGATGTGTATTGTGATATTAATTTTATTAAATTTTGACACATTATTGAATTTTTTAGGTTATACAAAGTTCGCGCGAATGTGCCAAACTAATACTATAAAGACGAAAGGCTTGTTGTTTATTTATTTGCTCTGAAACTACTGCGGATGACATAGGTTATTATTTACGCAAGAAGCCACAAAAAACAGCTATTAAATAACTTTAAATAAACCGCGAATCTGTTGATATTCGCGGTTTATTCATAGTTCCACTGTCGTTGGAAAATGGTGGCATTAATTACAGCTACAGTGTGAACGATTCATTACACTAACTAGTTCAGAAGGGTTATCCGATTGACATGAGATATGTATCTCGTCGGGGCCCTAATCCAGACAAGTGGTGGCTATAAATCAGTCCCTGGATCACCAAGACGCTGACATCATCGTCTACCAAGCGGCCTTCTATTAAATAGACTCTTGCGCAGCGCGAGATGTTCGACACTGGTAATTGCTTTATGGGTATCATTTCGGTAATTGAATGAGTGAAGGGAGCTGATGTTTGTTCAAAGATAATTCAGGTCATGTGCAAAAATTAGTTATGTGGAAAGAGCGAAGTCTGTTTTATTATCTACGAGCTTATTGTTTACATCGCCATCTTCTTAGTGTTTACCTTTTATTGTGAGAAAATTCAAAGTCGATTTGATTGACTTGAATTTTCGGAATGTGTGAAAATATCTTCTTATCTAAATGAACATTTGTCAAAACAATAACATTAATTTCATATAAAATGCAACAACTATACATAAAATTATTATATTTAGAAAAAAAGACTAGTTACTGATATTTTTTTTCTAAACATCTATTTTGGAACATTGAGAATTAAAGCAAAAAATTTGTTTAATTGCCAATACTGTAGAAAGATTATCTTAATTAACCCAAAACTAATTAAAAAATTCAAAACACCCATTTTTCAACTTTGTCTAGCCGATGTGCCAGATGTATATTAAAATTCTTTTACAATATGAAATGTATCAGTTGTTTTTTAGCAGACTTGGATCTTAATACAATACAAGAATACAATGGCGACTTGTCTATTCAATTATAACGGAGATTTTTTGAATATCCTATTTTTAACAAAAATGTTATGTAAAAGCTTTTAATTGTCAACTGACAAAGAAAATTGGAAAAATAACGTAGGTATTCTTAGCATAAATTTGTAAACAGCTGTGAATGTTAGGGAAGTAGAAGACGTGTGTAAAGATTGTGCCTTGATTGCGGAGTGAGTAGAGATACCGAGCACAGAAGCTCGGTATCTCTACTCACTCCGCAAAGTGAACGCGACGTTGAACCTAGATAGACATTGGTGCTATTATTGTACCTACCAATCTGTAAATTAACAAATTTAATTTGTCAACTGCAAGACATCAGGGTAGTCTTATTATATGAATCTACTAATAATTATCTATTTTATATTATCACTGGATTCTGTATAACTATAATAATGTCACCCAAGTACGCTAATATACTATTAAATAAATTTAAAACCAATAGCTAGAACAGAAGTTGTCTATCAAGCAACAGCAACTTGTTGTCAATTTATAATATAAACTATTTCAGAGCGCAATAGGTTCTCATATAAACTTAACTATATATTATATAAACTTTATATAGTATTACTTAATGAGTTAAATGAATGGTTGAGTTAAATATTGAGTTAGATGTGTTAAATTTAAACAAAGTAACAAATAATTTAAGCTCTCATAATTTTGATCGAATTTCAATTGGTAAGTTTGTTTGATCATCAATTTTATAATACAGCGGAACTTAACTTTTCGGCGACGAACTCTTTTGAAAAACAATTATTCACATTGTTTCTAAATAACTTTAAAATAAAAAAAAGAAGTGGTTCTATGTTCCACTGGCCACGTTTGTTCAATGATTTCTCTGATTTGGTATTCTTGGTATTAATTTACAATTTATAAAATGGCTTTATTAAGGTAATGGCTTTATAAAAGTATTGGTAGAAAATGATTATAAAGAAATTATTTTTATTACCATTATTAGTTCAAAAAAATAGGTAGCTTGTTTTATCTAATGCTTTATCCCTGAGCGTTGTTGATTTTCGTTCATTTAATTCTATGGTAACTCACGTCCAATGTTAATTAAGAATATCTTATAGTTATAAATTGTCGGTATAAATTAAACAATAGATAAAAAACATCAAAGAATAAAATAAGAGCTGTACTTAATCCACTTATTCCCATTCAAAAGAACTAAAGTGCAGGCAAAGACGTTTAGTTTGGGCCTGAAAAGCGAATACAGACACTTCATACATTTTAAAATTGGATTTGTCCGATCGATCGATGCGCGCGCGCACGCGATCTCAGTGGCTCACAAGTCGCCGCGTCGCGCGCTCCGCTCGTAGCTGCTCTGCCCACGCACCGCACAAAAATCGAACGCATTCGTAATATAAAACCAGCTAACAATATTATAACCAATAAAATAAAGTCTATCTAATCCGAGTTATTAAACTTAAATTTAATTAATTGTCGATAAAACGAACACGTGTTTATATTAGTTGGCGCGAAGAGTAACACGGTGTCAACGGTTACACGTTTTTCACTACAAGTGAATAAATATATTCTGGCTTCGCCGGCCGGGAGAAATTTCACTTTTTTTATTATCAGTGAAGTCCTGATAGTTGTTATGAACTTTTGGAGGCTGCGAACTGCGCTGAATGGAATATTAACTGTAAGTAAGTATAAAGATTTGTATCATTGTTTAAGAAAATAGGTTGACATATTTCGGTATACTGCTACGAAAAAGTTTACAAGGTAAAATTGATAATTGTCGTATCATATAACAGGAAATGCAACTGTGAAAACAAATACTATTTCCACTCTAAATCTATGATAATAAAAGACAAAAGTTTTATATTATATTATTATAATTATAATGATGAATAAATCCAAAATCAATTGCAGTCATTGTAAATGTAGCTATAACTGAGTAACAAATATATTATAACCTGTATTACGGTGACAGTCACAGAGAATAGCCGGCTTTAAATAAAGTTTGGGTTTAATTTTTTCGATTTATGATTAAAGTTTGCGAAAGTACAGCAGCATTTATGAATCGGTAACTAGATTTATTTTCAAGTTTCTCTTACGCGCAGCTACAAAGATTTTTGACACCTTAGTAACTAATAGAATAAAGCGGAAAGCAATAAAATATTAACATTCATATCATATAATTTGAATAATTGCGGTTTATTTATACAGGCTGTGCCAACGATTATTGCATAACCAACCTTGTACGAGCTATAGTTTTGCGGTCAAACTAACCCGCTAAATAAGTACCATTAATTGTCAATTACTTTCTATTTGACCGGTTGCTTAAATAGTGTGTTTCTGTGATTTCACCTGAATAAACCTATGTTGCCTACTTTTTTTCTACAAATGGTATTATTTTTATTAGAAGCTGTTCCTAGGTGGGATTTTTGCGACTCTATATTTATCATGCATCGTTTATTAGTAAACCAGCATAATTTATATAAATATTTATATATAAATATAATTAATTCCATTTGTGACTTAATTTTCTTTTATTGTAGAGATTGATCTTCTAATTTGTTAATTCTGAATTATTCTGGTAATAAAATATGCCAGTGAACTGGTTATAATTTTATTTTAAACTGAATCTAATAAAAATATATATACGATTATAAATTTATTTACGATAAAATCTAATACGTGGATGTGTATTTCAGTTCCTATTATCCTTGAAATAAAATAGCAATGAAATTTTAATTTCTCGTCCTTTAAATGATTATTTAAATAATTTTAAATCGTCTACGATATAAATTGCATATTTGACACTCAAATAATGTAGAAAGTGGTCAACCAGGAAGCAATTAATACTTAATTAGAAGATTTTCTTATCGATCTGATTTCTTACATTATTTATTGAACATTTATTGCACATTAAAAGAACAGGAAAAATAAAATAATAAAGCGTTTTAAAGTTGGAATAGATGTTAAAGTAGCACGTATTATAATTATATTGACGATAAACAATTTAAAAAAAATCTAATATGTATATTATTTATAATTGAATAATGGAAAAAAAACGATGTATTTTTTATTTTTAAATTTTTATAAAGTTTTAAGTTAGAATGCGTTAGAATTTTATGTTTCTTCATCATCACCAGTCTATGGAAGGGATCTAATTGAGAAGGGATAATGGTCACTACAATACACACTGGGCATGGCACTTTATGATCAACGCGAGCCAAGTGTGGATTGTTCCGGTGTTTACAACTGCAGATGTAGCCGTGTTCAATGTGCCTTGCAAAATACGAAGAAGCTCGAGATAATAAATTTTTGGTCACCAATCTTAATACTGGCCCTTTTAAAAGTTGCTTCCGCATCGCAGCCAACGCCAACATCTGCACTATCGAACTCCTCAGTTTATGTTTAGTATCGTGTAAATGAGTCGTGGGTGAATGATTGTAGGTGAACGACCGTGTTTTGTATGTGTTAATTTACACTATTGTCACTACTTAGCAGCGACTGTTCTTCGTCATTATTTCACTAAGACCTTGAGGCCTCGACTCAAGAAGTACTTTAGCCTTTTTCAGTGTGCACTTTGTAATATAACTGATATGCAAAATTTTATCAACATATTCCGGTTCATCATCACATTTTGTAGTAACGATAATTCTGACTGTAATGATATACGATAAGCTTGATCCGGATTAAAATTAGGTTGTATAATAAAATCTATATAAATAAAATAAAATTTTATATTATATTTGATCAATTTTTCATTCACAATGTCATACAAAATGCTTAAAAAATCATCTTGCCCCAGGCTATCTTTGAGTATCACGGACAAGGATTTTTTATACATTTTTCATTAAGAATATAAAATTTTATTGAAATGTTCTTTGGTAAAAGTGTTTGGATTGACTGTGTGCTGGATATACTTGACTAATATTTGTACTGTACATCTATCTTTTATGTTTGATAATTTAAAAATTTGGGGTAAATTCACATCTTTTGGTAAAATCATAGTTTTTCTCATCGTTCGTCTAGTAGGAAGAATTTTTGAAAAAAGTCATATGCAATCAAAAGAAGAAAAGAGGGGATAAATAACCAAACTGTAGATATGATTTCAAAATTAATTATTTGATTAGGACATCGTCTATCGAGAAATAGGCAGGCTTGATATATTGAATATTACCATAATCTAAATTCTTAAAAGTGCATTTGCATGGACATATGGTAATTTTTAAATTACCACTTTCGAATTATTTTCTAATGATGTCTGCTGTTTTTTAATGTCTAATTAAATATGAATTCTTCTACGAATTACGTTAATATTGCTTCCAATTAAGGTATTAAACATATTCAGTCCATAATTCAGAATCAAACTGTGGTAATCTGCCATATCGGGCTAGTTTAATGGTGTCATTTAGACAGTGTTGCCTCTTCCTGAAGTTTTGTATCAATTTAATTCGTGAGAATTCCTAACAATGCTGCTAATTTTAAACTTTTACCCACTGCCACTAAAATTTCACTTAAATTTTGGTTTGTTTTAACGTTAGTCCATAGTCATTTAGTAATCAAATAAATATAATTATACTTTGAATATACGTTTATCTGGGTTGTCTTAATTATTTTCACAATCTAAATGTAGTATATTTAGTGCAACAGAATTACTACCATTATATATGTACCTTATATTTCTCAATCATAAAGGAAACCAAATATAGAAATATGTTTCGGATTATGACCTATATAAAAAGAGTTTATCATATTATGTGTCAACTTTTCAACTAGTCACCGATCAACGTCACTTTTAGACAAAAATACATCAATTTGGGTCTATTAATGCTGTATAAAAAAAAATCCCTTAAAGCTGTACAATAAATCATAATAAGCAAGAGGAAATCATGAATCTTATCTATGAGATAGAGACAAACAATAGCGTATTATTGCAGGTAAAAAACGCCACATAAACTATTACGATTATTATAAAATCGACATCGACAAGGATGTCAATTCTTCCTTACAAGTGACTAAGATATATATATTAAAAGTTATTGCAATAATATAAAATAATTACAAGTATGAATTCAATGTTACAATTTTAAGAAGTACAATAATAATACAGTACTTTGTATTTTTTGGCGAAAAAATATGTAATGTCATGATTGAGTATAACTTTAGTATTTTACTTTAGGGCTCAATGGGACATGTCCACGTAAACAGAATGTTTTTTCTTTTTCTATGGTGTTTTATCACGTGAGTAGGTATAATTCTAGGTTATATATTTTTTGGCTGCAATAAATCTAGTCGAGATATATTGCTTTAGACCTCTCGCTAAAGCAATATATCCTACTAGATTTATATGCGATAGAGGAGATACCATTTTTAACTTTCGTTTAATTTCTACTTGACATAAAATTTGTTCCGGTAATATTAATTGGGTTGAAGTTGGAACATCAACGGACAGACAGAAGACAACGAACCAGTGACCTGATTTTATTAGCATAGCATCTATGGCGGACGGTAAAGAAAATTTACGAGCCACTCGTGTACCAGACTATTTCTAGACGGCCTATATGCTTACCATAGTTTAATTTTTGGAGGGGATCAATACGCTTTATGCTTTTAAACCGACTGGTAGCACTGGAGTTGGTGATAAAACACTGGATTACGTCAATGAAATGGGTTAAATGGACTGTAGCAATAAAAGTGTAGCCCTCGCCGTGAACTGGCAGCGTGCGGCCCCGGCGAAGGTCGCGCTATCACGACGAAACTGGTACATCGCAGTGTTGCTAACTAAAAAAACTCAAACTTGCCATGTATAATTAAAATACAATTTCATAAAGTCAAAGTCAAAATATTCTTTATTCAAATAGACTTCTTATCTATCGTTCAACATTTTTTTCCCTCGTTCAGGACGTCTTTTGGCCGATAAGGAGAACGAGCAAGAAACTCACCTGCTCTCCTAATGGGAATAGCGTCATTCAGAAAACCATGCCATTACCAGATCAATAATATATTATTATAAGAGAAAAAAACTATGATCTTATAATGATAACAGAATAAACAACAAGTTAATTTAGATATATACTGAGTTTAGATAATGAGAATAAAAAATCAAAAATCCTGTATCACGATAATGGATAACCTGTATCTAAAACATCTGAAATGGATAGCGAAGCAATGTTTGAATAATAACGAATACATTCATTCTCATCATGTCCCCAATAATATTTGTAATTGTAATGTACATTACATGCTTAATGGTATTATTTTTCGGATGAAAAAAGTGAAATGATTGCCAACATTTACGGCTATTATTGTATCAATATAAACACTGTATACGTTGTATAAACAACACTTATCATGTCATGTTTCACTTTCGTTCGCTTCTAGGTGTCCATCCGCACTCTGGCGTTAACTACATCTGAGATTTGACGCTTCTTATTCTTATTTGTCTTTGTACAACACACGAATTAAAATGTAATAGGATGTATATTGTATCACAGTCTATGTTGTTCTATAGTAATCGTGAGAAGTGACAGCAGTTGTAGAGAGCCCAAATTGCCGTACACACTGATTAAGAGTAATAAATTTTTATCAACCTATTATCTAATTTTTTTTATTATCTTTACATACAATATTTTTCTATTACATTGCGGTAGGGGGCTGGTATTTGTTAAAAATGTTTTTTGAAAC